AATTTGTTGTTTCACACAGACGGTCATACAGGCGGTTGCGAACTAATTGGCGACGTAGAGTAGTCGGTGGTATTTCAACTATCGCTACCGATTCCTCTAGATCTGCCCTTCTTAAGCATCGTTTTATAGCTACGCTTACTTCATCGCTTATAAAAGGCAAAATGAACGGGACCTTCTTTTGCCCAAGTGTTTCGTGTGGGCGCGTCGTTCTCCTTGTAAACTTATCTCGTGGGGTTACTATTTCGTAGCCATTGGAGATGGCTATTTGCCGAGCCAAGTCGCGCGATTCTTCCTTCAGTTCCCTGGTAGTGCACACAGAGGTGGCTGTTCGAAACATGTTTCTCACAATCGCCCTCTTTGTGTGTGAAGGGTGGGAAGAAAGGAAATGGACAAGGATGTTCTTGTTACTTGGCTTTCGATACCACTTTGTCAGGTAACCGTTACTTGATAGGTTTATTTGGACGTCCAAAAACGGAAGCCAGTTTTCTCTCGGTTTCTCGCGGGTGAACTTTATGTACTCGGACTGCTCGTTCAATAATTCAAAGCATTTGTCCATCTCCTCCTGCGTAGAGAAGACGACAAAACAATCATCTACATATATGCAGTAGAGTAGTGGCCGGAGATCGAGAACAGGGACTTCTATCTTAGACATATACACAATGGCAAGGCTTGGTGCCAATCGCTGTCCCATTGCCAGCCCCCTTATTTGCGCGAAATATTTCCCAGACCATCTGAAAATCGAGCAGTTTAGGCACTCCTTTAAGAGAGCCATTAGCTGCTGGATGGACAAGCCATGCATATTTATTCACGCTGATCCATTGATTGTTTAGCTTTCGGTATTGACTTTTATATTCCTTTTCAGAGGATGGGCGATAGAGAGTAGCATCACTAAGAGTTCCTCTGTTATCTCAACATGCAGCTGGCGAGGGATAACTACGAACTCTCCCCCCTTATCACTAACAGACAATCTTATTGTTTTCGAGTTTATTAATTCTCTAATTTCCCGCATGCCACATTTTTGTGCGGCAAAGGCTGCGGGTTTAAAATCATCGGTTATTTCGCACTTTTCTATTTTTAATTGGAAAACAACGAACAGTTTCCTTCACGAAGATGCGATTTTGCCCTCAAATACACCTTCTTACTCGAAGGTTCCAACTTTGTGTGAAAATCCAAATTTTTTTGAAACTTCAATTCCTAAACTTATTTAAATTCGCAGTGGCGAATAACGATAAATTCATTATATACTTACTGTCTTGAATACTTGGACGGTCCTTCTTCAAGAGTTGTGTGGACCTCAGCACATTTGCCGTTCGTTGCTTCCCCTGCAGTCGTCGTTTACGGTAGTGGTTTTATAAGAGCAGGACGGCGAGCGGAAGTCTCGTACTGTGGTCTATAAAATAGCTGCTGCTGCGAGTACAGCTGATTAACTTTCGTTGCGAACACTTCCGTTCAAAGTGTAGATAATCCTTCTAGAGGAGGCCGATATCTCGTGGAGTCCAATCTACAATAGTTTTCGTCTACTTGTTGTTTGTTCGTCTCATTATGTAACGAACAAATCTGTGTTTCGCTATCTATGGGTATTCTCCTGGATTTCGAAAATGGAAAAGATTTCGAAGATCATAGCGCTGCATTTCGGCTAAGTGTTGAGTGTGCCGATTACGCCTCAGAAGACATCATTCAAGTGTTCTGTAAGTAGTGCCCAGGATTCTTGACGTGGCCTCAATATCAGGCCACATCTCTGCAGCATAACGGAGAGCTAGGAAGACTGTTGATTCGAAGAACTGATCGCAGATTTTCAGGTCGTTTAGTTGGTTGGTGGCTTATTTGAGAGGCGTACATGTGGCCTATGCTGCTCTTCTTCTGTCTAATTACTTTTTCAGATTATTCTCTATGTTAAACAAACGCATGAGGTGCACGTACGAGGTGCTATTTCCAATCAGAGAACTATCCACTTTGATCCTATCGCCTTCGCATCATGCGTTTTTCCAGATTTGGGCTTTCTTCCGGAGCCCGGTTTTTTTTCTCACTTTTTTGAGCTCATTGATCATCGGCTGAGCTTGGCTGGTACTTCGTGAGAAGATGGCGATGTCGTCGGCAAAAGGAAAGTTTGATAGGAATTTTCCACTGATACGTAGCTTATCCCAATCGAGTGACTTCATTATCCGCTGAAGTGCGGCACTGAACGGCTTTGGCGATATTGTGTCGCCCTGTCAAACTCTTTTTTTATGGATACGGTAAGAGTTCAATAGAAAAGCTGTATTTTCCTTGTGCGATTGCGCTAACAGTCAGGCAGAGTTCTTATAAAGGAGGCGTCCACTCCTTGGTCGACGAGCACTGATAGGGTTGGATTCGTTTCGACAGTGCCCAATGCTTTTTCATAGTTGACAAAAGTTGGGACTATAGCCAGGTGATATTTCCGAAAAACTTCGATGACCCTAGCTAGACACAGTTTGGACGTGGTCCGTGCAACAAAATCTTTGTCGAAATCCTGCTTGTTGTACTGGTTGCGCCTCATCGAATGTCCTTTATATGCTAGACAAGATAATCCTCATGAAGAGTCTGTAAGATGCACTCAACAAGCACATCGTGCAGTTACGAAAATTTCTTCGGTCACTATTCTTCGGCAGGATGACCGTGTGCGATGTCCTTCCCTGATCTAGGATTTTTTCCTTTTGAAGAAGCTGCCATATTGCTTGTGACAAGTATATGTAACTTGTTGCTTCGAGCTCTAAGGAAGTCGGCGGTAATATCATTGAGTCTTGGAGCTGTGTCTCCTTTCATGTTTTATATGGCAAACATAAACCTTTGACGGAAGAATTCTAGGTGATATCTCGGAGAACTTCTCCAAATTTGACACAGCTTTTAAGTTCTTCGACAAGCAGCTCGTAGTCTTCTGTCGGATTTTACTTAATCTGCGAGTTACGTTTGATAGGGTTTCGTTCAGAATGTTCACGTCATATACAGCTAGACTTTTTCTTCGTGGTCGATGACATGAATTGCTTTCCAACTTACGGGTGAACCGAATCTTCGGGCGAAGAGGGTGCTGCTCGGAACCAGTAAAGAATGACGGGACTACCGATGTGTCGAGTAGGCATCCTTTAATCTGTTTGTCAGAATGTGGTTGATCTCTGAATGAGTCATGTCATTAGCAGACTCCCATGTCCAGCGGCGGCTTTCTTTCTTCTCAAAAGCGGGTTTCGATGGGTGTGACGCGCTGAGGGCAAGAGTACTGCAAGGCGGTTTCCATTCCCATTCTTTTCTTATAATTCAAAATTTCCGATGCTGTATTCTTTAACAGTGAACTTCCTCCTTTAAGCGTTGAGGTCTCCGACAACAAATTTGAAATACCTTTATTATTGCGGATAACTTCGTTCGAGTGATAGTAGAACGCATCTAATTTGTACTCATTAACTGCATCGGTCGGTAGGCAGCAGTTGATGATTATGATCTTCTTGTGACGCACCAGTTGAAGACGAAGAACGGTAAGCGGAGGGAGGGGATCTCTTATGAGTCGATAAGATGGACAATGCACAGATGAACGACCAATCCTGCCCAACCAACATTTTATAAGCGGATCATTTCTCTACGGATGTGATGGGACCTATAGTTTAGTTCGCTTATGTCGGTCTTCCCGATTTTTGTTTCTTGAAGTGCGACCACATGAAATTTGATGCGATCTGGGGCTTCAAGAAGGGCGTGAAGATCGCCGTCTGTGCAGAGTGTTCCGGTGTTATACGTGCAGAGTAAGAAACAATCTCTATACCGTGTCATGCGTGTGTTCGTCAGACCTAGTTCTAATGACGTTTTGCGTAATTTTCTGGCCTCTCATCGGTCGTCTCATCTCCTGGCGTCATAGACGGTGTACTGAGGCTGGTCCTTTACTAGTTAAGCAATTTGATTTGGTAAATTGCTCAAATATAATTCATATGCACATATATATGTATTTGTACATTATATACGTGTGCATATGTATATACATTCGCATATATGTACATATATATAAATATATATATATACGTATATAATTTTCTCAGCGGTTCACCGCCTCACCGTAGTTGGGAGGTGTTCCTGGGTGTCGGACTGCGGTGTACATCGCGGGATTCATTCCTCTGAGAGAATCTCCCAAGCTGAGAAGGAGTCCGGTGTTCCCGTTAGGAAGCCCAGTTAAGGGTAAAGCAATACCAGGATCCATCACCGTCCTGGTACCAAAGTAGTCGCATGTTGGCAAATCTACCTCTGATCCACATGATCGGCGCCTGCTTGTGGTGATGACGACCTGGGGCAGACTTTGGCCTGGCTGACCTGAGGTCTCCAGAGAATCACAATGGCCAAACCGGCAAAACTCCAAAAAAGTGAAGATTATACTGGGGCTCGCACAGCCAGTATGGACGGGCCATCCAAGTATTCAAGTATATGTAGTGCATCGGCGTGTGTAGAGCAGTGGTTAGAGGCACCCTGCAATACACGTGGGTTCGATCTCGCGCCTAAGACTCACCAAGCCTTTTATCTCTCCAGTGCTGGCAGATTTGTACTAGGCTTGTCTAGGAAGATTAGAGCTCCGAGTCGTTAAATTGGTAAGCTACCACGAGTCATTGTATAGGCCAGATATGCATTCAGTCACCTCTTACGATGTTTAATGAAGTCGAATGCATGGTCCTCAGGGATTGGTCGATGGCGAAAGCTTTATTATTTATATAATATTCTGCCGAGGACTAGGAGTCGTGCTGTTACGGTTGAACAAAGTTGTATCCCGGCGGAAATTGACACATCCACGATGTATCCACTTAGAAATGACTGAATATTTTTCCTTTTCACTGATCTCATGGTTTTCACTGTTTCGACAACGTCGCTGAATTGAATCATCAAGTAGAAGTAAATTGTGAAGCTCTTTGCATTGTTTTGTGTCAGCTCAGAGTGACATCTGATAAGAGTTTCATAGAAACTAACTGATTATATGTGTGATAGATGGCGCACCAATAGGTCAAGGAAATGTACGAGCTGCGCGCCTCAACTCTGTTTAAAATGTAATTTACAACGAATTTTCTTCTCTTATATCGTCATCAGCAACAGGAGCTCCGAAGTCGTTGGAAAATCTATGTGTAGTATTCATTTTCGGTGATCTCAGAGAGCTGTTGGTTTTAATTTGCTAAACAGAAAACTTATGATATGTACATATATCGACCGTCTGTTGTTTCGTTCTCGAGAGGTCAATCGACAGTAGGACATGCTGCTTATGACTATCTTTTTGCGAAAGAAACAAACATTCGTCCTAACCACAATAACCAGCGACTGCCCGTTGTTGATACGTGGATCACCATAGCATGGATTTGTATGGATATCAAAGAAAACTGCTGTCGATCAGTATTCACAATGTGAAATGAAGACAGATCAACAAATCGAAGCCGAAAAGAGTTCATTTTGCTTAAGTACATGTTTTCCTTGGTGAACACAGAATGGTGCAGTTGATAAACTAGTTGGTAAAATTCTTTAATTTACTTTGGGTTTTATTATTTTCACAGAGTATTTTTTTTTCAGTGGTAAATCGATTGTTCTATGAATTGGATATGGGTCTTGTGGATTTTTATTGTGAAGTCCTAAACGAGGTGTGCCTATTAGATCCATTAGTGATGAAAGCAGGTGTATGTTATTCTCGTTATTTTCAGACTGGATTGTATCGACAGGGGCACAGCAGTTCTAGGAATATTATGAGAAAAATGGCCATGAACCAAACTCAGAGGATTAAAATGAACAGTCTCCTTCGTGGAGTTCGTTTGAAAACCAGTGAAGCGCTGTGTGCTGATAGGTGAGCACTTTTGATTGCAGAGCTGTCCAGATATTCTGGTACTCGACTTTGATCTGGGGTAGTTCCAACCTGAAGGCAGCTCTCCATGGCTATGTTTAAAGAAATAGTGGGAAAACCTGGGTATTTCGTTCTCGAGAGGGCGGGTGAGTGGCGGTAGTCATGGCGATCCTCGCGAGCACGGTGCATTCTGACTCTAGCCCTTCGCCGGCTTATGACCCTCCGCGGTCAGAAGAAAGGTAACAGTCTTATCTCTGAAAACTTTACTATCTGCAACCCAAATGGAAACGCTCTATTCCGACCATGTAGGAAATCCAGGATGAATTGACTCGACAAGCACTCAATGAAATTAACGATGAAAGGAAGATCCTCAAGCAGCAGCAAGCCGAATCCAACTAGGTGCATGGTGTTGGAAGACCTTCGCGGAAGAAAGATGAAAGGGAACGAGTCGAATCCAAGAAGCGATGGGATCCGCACAGTGAATGTGGAAGACGAGTCGTATAAAATAGAAGGACAAGTTTCTTTCCTGTTTTATTTAGTTAATTTTTTATTACCTGGCCTGTCCTTACATTTATTGTGCAGATCACAGCTGTTCTTTTGTTTGTTTGCTACATGTTATCGATCATCCAGAAAGGTCTTCAAACCTTTGCATGTGGGTGCGGCTGCAAGTCGAACATTTTCGTCTTTGTTTTGAAAGTGGTTGATTGCTGGTGGACTGAATTTTCTCTTAAATATTACGATAACAGTGCTAGGGTGTTTCTACATGGATTAGAGGAAGTGAGTTGATCCGAGATAAGGCTGGTACCAATTTCTCGACGATGGACGTCTTAAAGACTCGATCCGCTCGGGAAGAGGTCGAACAAGTACCGTGGTCGTGGTAAACGTCACCACTACTGTTGTGCTACCCGACCATTTGGTAATTCTGCTTAAGTATAGAGAACTATGGTCGGACAGTCCGGTCGCTCATACAGTTGCAACGCTCATGGGGTTTTCTTGAGCTTACAATTTTTCCAGTCATCTTCTGCAGAGTTTCTGATAAATAACTAACTTATGGGATCGCGCTTGCTTTTAGGAGTTTAAAATTCTGAATTCGCTTTTCAGTCTTCTGAAATTTTGAATTTTAGATGCTGTTTAAGATAAGAATAACTTTTCGAATGTTATACGTACAACGGTAAAGCTTTACTCAGAGGTCTGTTATGTGAGTTTGGCAAGTACTCAACTCTTTAGGTTCTTTAGTTATCTGAGAATTATGCGGAATTTTTGGAAAACTAGTGTCCTAAGATCTGTGGGAGATGTAAAAAATGAGCTCTCATTAGTAATTAATTGCAGTTTTATTTCCATCTACTACTGCGGATCTTAAACGGCATCTGGTCATATTTGTTGCGCGGCTCGTTATCAAATGCTGATAGCAGTTTAGTTATACAGCGAATGCGTACTCTTCACAAGCAAGGGTTTTAAAGATTCTGGAAGTATGGATAAATACATAGAAGATTAGTAAGGAACTTAAGGGATACGTGGAAAGCACAAACTACGAAAGGTTCTAACAATACATAGAAAGACGAATCTTGGAGCGAAGCATACAAACAAAAGGGTGAAGCCATTTCTTAAGTGGGAAATTGGGCACCGTGAGTTGATAAGAACTCGTAGCGAGTGCATTGAGAAATTTGGAGTCAAATAGATCTGTAAGGCAAACTGATTTAGGCGTCGCACTCATTGTGTTAAGAAAGTTATGGACGTTTGCGTTCATTTCAATACTACTATCTGGAATTATTGAAAATATCACTGTGGTTCGTTATGTGTTTAACACGCGGAGATCGATTTTGATCAGTAAATTGATCGTTGTTTCATTTCCAATCACTATGTTAAGTTGGTTATCGTATAGAATGGGGCTGGGTATGAAAAATACCGTCATAGATTCAAATATGATGAAACTCCCAAATATTAACAGCACTGATGGACGAGCTTCTTTTCCTCTCCATACACAAGTGTTGAAAATATTACGATGGCATAATACATTGATGAAATTGTAGGATAGATAGCAGAAAACGTGGAAATCATTTATACAGTACAGAGATGAACCGAATTATAATATTAGAACCTACGAAAAGAGTAGGATCATTTCCTGAAGTGGGAAGTCGACAGGAGTGAATTGGTATCAGCTCATAAGTATGTAGCGAAGAACTGTGCGTCATTTTTATGCGACAACCAAGCGGATTCAGTCTTTGGACTTCATCTTTGAACAAATTTGGCTTCAGCTGATGTATTAAGGTTACTTTAAGGTTTAGAGCGATATTTATTTTTCTACCGTATGACTAAAGTTGTTTGAAACAGTGGTTGCCAGGAGGAGAATACTGTCGAAAAACCCGGCTCTGATATATGTATAACGAGTGCGGTGGTTCAAATGCACACTTTGCTGAAAATAATTTACTTCATTAGTTCTAGAAAGTTATATCTCAGCTGCTAATGAACTTTATCGCTTTGAATAGATTTATCTGGATTCTATAAATATTTTCGGTAACAGGGTGCCTTATCGCTTATTCCACTGCGATGATTTCCTAACTTTTGGAGCTCTCGATTATTTTTTCTACTTCTGTTTTCTCTGACCCCTTATCTCGAGCAAAGAACTAACTAAAAATCGGAGTTTGTGGACCAAAAGGCGATGCTGTTTCTTAATGCATTGTCATTGAACTCGGTTGTCGGACCTTAAGATTTTTCGCTTTGAAAAATTATGCCATTGACGATGTCTACTTCTTCATCGCATCCTCTGTGCCACTGTGATTGAGGTGGTGGTGACAACCTAGTACCCCTGATAAGCAAATTAATTCACAGACTATACAAGGAATCGGTATTGGACTCATAGAGATAAACAGGTTCTTACATGTGGTGATCGTTCGAACCTTGCTATAAAATAGGCAGAAGCAGAGTAGCTGCCCTAGAAAAAGCAGTCACCGAGAAAATGAGTCCTATGTTACTCATACATGTCACTCATGTGTAGACACTTTGTAAACTATATCTTGGAAAATTCTAAGATATTATGGCAGAATCGCTTATACAGCTTTAAAAGTCTGTTTTACAGCTTTGTCCAGTCCTTAAGAAATATGGCAAAATTATCGGCAGTTATAAAAAAGAAACTTTCATAGTGGGTGTATTGGTAATTTTGAGTAGCTATTATAAAATCATTTATGATGTTTATATATAGCAAGGTCTAAAAATTATTAAACGGTGGTTGAAATGTCTAGACGTTAAGAAATTTCTGGATGGGAGGTTTGTATATCTGTGCTTTGCATAAAACATCCATTAGTTGTAATGCTTTATCTTTCTACTATTTTTATTTGCAAGGGTGAATGTTCCTTCATGCAAGTTCAATTTCAAAATGTCTATAACGTTACATTGTAGACTTCTGAGGAAGTAAAAGGATAAATTTATGCTCTTGATCCTGTTATGGAGTTTCCTTCTGGGCTTGACTCTTTCGGTTCCTTCGTTTCTGTTTTCTTGATTCTCTAAACTTTACCCGATTTAGTTGGTAGTTCGCAGTGATATTGATAGTAGTTGATATTGACGTTGTAGTTGATAGCGATATTCATATACACCTCCACTTTTTTGAAGGACCAACTGCTACAGTTTGAAGGAGCGTCGTGTTACTTTTGTCAAGGTGCATGATTTTTGCGCACAATCTTACAAAATGGCTCGTTGCTGTAATGTACATGGAAGTCCGACAATGGCAGAAGTTTATTATGGATTAGGGAGAAAGCTTGAGTACGTAAATTTTTGAATGAAGCTGTAGAATTCTATGTAGAGGATTTCGACGTGCTGTATACAATACTGTTCCAGGTTTCCGTATCTACCGCTTTGTGAAGTAGGAAAGGGAATGATATTGCCATTAGAGGTGAACGAGTTTTTCGATATAGATATAACAGTCAAAATTTTAGAGAACATATGTTTTGGAATCTACCATATCTGTAAGATTTTCGCGATTGCAAATTATCATAATTACTGCTCACTTTCCGTTCATTTTGCGTGTGACAAACCGTCGCACATCCCTAGATGTCACTTCTGTCACCTCTGTAACCCGTCGACCTGTTGACCGTCGAGGGACTTAAGCGAGCGCCAGCAAACGTTCCCTTTCCTCCAGTCTCCCGAATGGATTCTTTTCGCTTTAAGGACACGTTAAGCACTATATTTTTATTTCCAAAGAGCTCTGACGATAAGGTGTAGTGTCTTCCTGCTCTACGTTTCATACCTCGAGGAATCCAGTCGTTAACCGGTCTTGTTCATCGATTATTGCTCAAACGTATACACGTTCGGCCCATCTTATCTTCGACACTTTGGTGTTTAGAACAGCGTTTTCGGTTTTTGATCTTGACGTAGACCGAAGCTTCGGATATCTTCCTTTGCTTGCATGGTACGAGATGCTCATAGCATCGTCCTTTCGACTGCCCGTTCCATAATGCTGAATGAACTTCTGTTTAGTTTTTGAGCAAGTTTTTGTTGCATGCGTTAAAGCAGGTTGAGTCGTGGGGTGGAAAAGGTGGGCATGGAATCATGTATTCTTAGTTCTTTACACTGCATCCACGTTGCACTTGAAATCCCCTTGCTTCCTCCTTCTCAACTCAGGAACTAAGTCGTTTGTTATGTTGGATTTCTAATCTAGGTATACGTAGATGATGCTTTCGGAGATTCTGTTGTGCGTGAACAGGGCATAGGAAACAAATCCGTCCTTCATGAACATCGACTCTGTGAGATTCAGTCGAGAACCAAACTTTTCACAGCCGGTATAAATATTATCTAGCATTCATTACTCTTGACTGAAACTTTGCGTCATAGAATGATGTCATGAGCAAAGCGAAGGCCGTATAATTGCCGACTGTCCATACTCTCTTCCATGTCGTCTGGTTCCAAAGTTCTGGTAGTGTTCTGGAGTATGGCCCTAAATAATTTTGAAAAAAAAGTATCGCCTTTCCTAACTACTCTTTTGAAGTCGATGTTAACATCATCGTATATTGGTGATATTTTGGTTGTGAAATTTTGATATAGCTCACGCTTCCATGACTGCTTCTCTCTCAACTCAATCAAAAGATTTCGTTCAATCGATGAAATTAAGACAGAGCGGTCCCTTGTACTCTTGCAATATACCGATGAGTCTGATTATCGTGTGGATGCGGTCCATTGTACCAAATCCTTTTCGAAACCTTGCTTGCACACATGCGTGCCCTTCGCCCAGTGTTCTGTCAATCTTGTTTATAGACAACAAACAGCAAGCAGAATGGACGAGAGTTATCGATATCGTGGAGGTCACCTTTCTTCAACAATGAAACGGTCGTCCTGTTCTTTCTTTGAATAGAAACCTTGCACTGTAACAGCTATCGTGTGATTAGCGATTAGCCAAACCAGTGTGTTGATGAAGACTGGCGGAAGGTTCTTCAGGTGTTCTAGCCTATTAAGTTTCATAAAGTGAAATTCTATCGATGCCAAAGAAGATGTGATGGACAAATTACTGAAGTCCCTTAACACTCGGTTGAACTTACACAAAGAGTTTGTTTTCAATCGTTGACTAATGCACTCTTGGCCGTCGACGTGGACTGAAACCCAATTTTCTCTTGGTTTACAAAGAAGAATTGTTCCTAACGTACAATCGAGCTTCTTCCTGCATTTGAATTTCGTTGATGTTTTGGCTATTCGAAGAGCATGTTGAATGCGTTTGTGGTAAATTTCTTCTATCACTAATATTTATCAATTCATGTGTTGACGAGTGTGACACTCAGTTAGTAGGGTATGGAGGTGTGAAATGATGGCTTGCAAATCTTCATCTTCGTTCCTTAAGATCCAATAACTTGTCGATTGCCTGTCCTTTCAAATGTCCATGGTGTGAGGCATTGTGCGTCGACAAACTCATAAAGGGATTATGAATAGACGTTGTATTAAAAGTGCTTATAGGTGCTTCGCTTGTGTGATAAACCACAACGCTATTCAAAAATGCTTAGCGAATCAATGGCAGTGAAATTCATCAAGGTATGTAGTTCTTTCTGTGATTGCTGCGTGGTGCAGTAACGTCCAGACATAGAGAGACAAAAAGGATTTCAGCGTACCCAGAGGTTTTTTCTCATAGTCAATTTCCGGTTTTTTTTTCGTGTACTGTTGTACTTTCGAATTAAATGTGTGCTAATTTGTTGATGCAGGGAGTTAGCCGAGAACCACATCAGCATAAGCAACTTGTAGAACATATTTTCAACACGATGGAGTTCGACGTTGCGGATACTGTTAAGTTTTTGAATGCATTCAAGGTATACCTTCAATTTTTGTTTTGGTACTAAATATGCTCTACTAACTTCATAGTTTTGCTTTTTGTCACCATATTTTCTGGTGTTCTAAAGTTTTGCATCTTTGCAAAAGGTATGCACTGTTTATTATGCACAGTTTATTACCACTTTCTTGACCATAACAAAGACAAAATCACGTGGGGAACGGTGATTCATTGTTCTATTGGAAACTATGAATTTTATAGTGCAGTATGACTGCCATTTAATACATTATTTACTGGGATACTTGCATGGCCCATCTTCATTGGTTGTGCGGGCGTGGGCATAATTAACACCTTTTTGGAGTTTTGCTGGTTTAGCCATTGTTGTTCCCTGGAGTCCCGAGATCAGCCTTGTCAAAGTCTACCTCAGGTCGTCGCCACCACAGGCAGTCGCCGCCCTTGTAGGTCAGAAGGTGGTTCGCGATCATACGACTAGTTTGATATCTGGACTCTGGTGGATCCTGGTATTGGTTTACTCTTAACCGGGCTTTTTGATGGAAACGCCGGACTCCTTTCTGGTTTGGGAGACCCTCTGAGAGGATGAATTCGCCAGCTGTACATCGCTGCCCGTCACCCGGAAACACCTCCCAGCGACGATGAGGCGGTAAACCTTTGGGAGGACTTAATACATTAATATATGTATATATATGTATATTACTACATTAATGGAAGATTTAGTTGTAACATATATAATGCTATCGCTGGTAATGGTAATTTCTAGAATTCATATAACCACCCGGAAAGGTTTACAATATTTGGCTTTATTTGCCATTATTACCATTAACGTCTCACGGGACACAGGTTGTATACACGGTGATCGAAAAGTGTGGACATAACTAGACTGTATATTATTTTCCACAATATTTTTCATTGTCTCTTACGTTTGTCCATATTGGACTCTTGAACATGCCAGTGTTGTATGAAGTCTTATTTCCAAAAATGAATGAAAGGAGATCCAAACTTTATAACCGTTCTTTGCAAATTACGTTTTTTTTAAAACATCCAATATGTCTGATACATTCTCATTTTCAAAGACAAAAAAATTCTTTACTAGATTGGAATTATTCCAAAAATGATTCAGTGCGATGGGACAGTCCTTGATTCTCCAGTTGCTATTGATAAGGTGGGATTTTTACCTCTAAAAATGTTGAAATTTCATGTAAAAGATCTGTTAAGTTAATAATGCCTTCAGGAAAGAAATGAGGTTCCTATGACACCTGAACGTGCCATCAAAAGGAAAGAACTTAATGGTGAGTTGGATTCGTCCACTAATGTGTTCAGAAAGTCATTTGCTCCATAGCTCCCAGAATCCATGCTTTACATGCTTTCTCTTTTTCCTTCTCGGCTTTGCTTTTATGATTTCTGTACCCCTGCCTATCGTTTTCTTTAAAGAATCGCCTGATGGTGAGGTTATATGCGCAGTCGTTGTCATGACAGCTCATGAGGGAATGGCATGTGTCACTCCGGAACATTCAAAGAAAGTTTTTTTTTTAAAACATCGCGCTATTATTCAATGATTGGTGGGCGGTGTTGTAGTGTTGCATTTGCGGCAATGGGATATTTTACATTTAGGCAATTTTTCGAAGATATGATTGACAAATGTCGCGAACGTGGTTTGTGCATGGCTTCCGAACCTCTTCGGGTTAAGTGGATCCTAATTTTCGTGCATGGTTTTGTTTTTTCTATTTATAATGTTTTTAGGTGTACCACAACATTACTATAGATGGATTTGAGAAATGCGTCAAGGACGCAACTATACGCTTTTCCAAGCTACAGCGTGAAGCTGGTGACCGTAACATGGAGAAAATCCTTCTTGTGATTGTCATAAACGATCGTACTTACCTTGGAAATAAATATGCAAATGGCCTGAATTCTTATGGTGAGCACAACTAATCTTGATTTTCATGTCACATCCACGTGCTGTTATTACTATTTGTCTTATTTCTATACTATTTTATAGGATTTATTAAATCAATCTGTGACAACAATTACGGTATTGCTAATCAAGTTGTTGACGCTTCCACGGTTATTAGAGCGACATTGACAGAAACGAAGTACGACGAACAGTGTGCTTTTTCAATTTCATTGTCGTTGCAGAACCAATAGTCTGCTTTTAAAAACATGAGGCAAATTTATTTGTAGGACAATTTACTACAACATTGCGTTAAAGATTAACGCGAAGTTAGGTGGGATCAACCAGGCTGTTATTTTCGACGACGATTCAAGGTAGTAATAGATGTTATGAACAATTCGTTGAGCATACTTGCTTAAAAACCCGAATGGCCGACTTTCTCTAAACCTCGACATGAATAATCGATATATTTATTTATACGTTCTTTGAACTGATTTTGTTGAGCTGATGGGAGGTTGGTATAGCTGTCGTTGTTGTTGTTGTTGGTCGAAGGCTGAGGTTTCAGTGAGTGCGCCTTCCTAAGAGCTTGGAAGTATTGGTTTTCCACTGAATAATAATTCTATTCCATTCTATTCTAGATTATTCTTGTATAAAATACGTCCAGGCTCTGAGGAAAACGAAATCGTCGAGACATCAGCCATCGGCCAACAGCATCAACAACTACAACGGCAGTCGCATTAGCTCAACGAGACCAATTCATAAGAACGTAAAAATAAATTTATTTGTTTAATCTCCTTAATCACAAGATGTTGCTTGTGGGTAATGCTAGTCGTTTCTTTCACGGAAGAGCCTCTTAATTCCGTCTAGCGCCTGAACTTATTCGCCATTGAATCAACTGCAACCCGTACAGCACATTGCCAATTCAGTGGTCTCAAATGGTGGTAATCTACTAGGCTTTTCAGTTTAAAATTTTCGAATTTGCCACTTGAAGTTTCCAGCATCTTTACTCAACATGTTTTTCGTTTTTAAACGTAAATAGCTATTAAACACAAGTTTCCCGCGTTTTCTTTTTTTTTTTTACTATTGTTGTTTTTGTTCTTATTTGTGCTCCGTTTAGGTTGTTGGATTAAAAAAAAGTCCAAAGAAGTTCAAAGCTTATTTTTGCGCGAATCAGGGTTTTAGCGTAAAGCTGTCGAAATGGGTCACAATGTTAAAGTTCTAATTGTCGGTCAACATATTTACCAGTCATGTAGTACAATGCTTATTTGAGGTTCCGTTATGAAAGTGATGGTCAGTGATGGCATGTTGCTGTCGAAGGTGATAATTTGAATACGTGTTTTAAAAGCTGACTAATTTTTGGTGAGAGGCTTTTTGTGTTAGTTAGGTGTAAGCACCCAGGATAACATTTTGAATCCATGAAGTAAAACAAAAAATACGTAGAACTTCAGTGTTTGTGACTACTCTTTATCAGCGAAGGAAGGTAGTTTCTAGTGCGTTGTTATGTTTTTTAATTTACGGTTCATAGGCTGAAATAGTTGGGTTTCGAATCCCTGTCTCTGCTTTACCCACCTGGTCTGTCATGAGCGGGTTATCCTTTTTTTGAAATAGATAAAGGCAGTAGATTTTCTCAAGATAGTCGGAGTGGTGTTCGTCTTAACGAGTAATATTGAAGCGTAAACATCAGAGTACTTTAAAATTTTGCTCAAACTCGTACATTTCATAGCGACTGGTCCAATCATATCCTTTATAATGATCCATACAACGCGTCCCTTGGGACGGTAAGATTTTGCTCATAACATATGTTATTGTATTTTCTCTTGGCGATTTGCTTTTTCATCTCAAGCCTATCAGTCTTCTTTTCAATTTCAAGACCAAAAGCCATTGAGATGCATCTAAACGGCTTCACTTAAGGTCAGGCGGTTTTTTGTTTATAGAAATTCATACTTCACTACTTCTAGATCCGCTGATGCTCCACGGAAGGATGCCGTAATGTACGTAGGAATAGATGTTACGCATCCAACCACCAACGAAGATGATGACATCTCTATCGCTTGTGTGGTTGCCAATATTGATTTGGCTGCTACGCGGTAGGTTATGCTTCATGTGGTTCAAGAAAACCGTTCAATGAAATGTAATGCTTTCATATTTCACTGCAGTGGCTTGTGCATCAAGCTGCGTATAGTACACTGGCAGTAATGCTGTTGAACACAGCTCGGCCCAGGAATGACTCCACTCCGCTCACCAAGTCTCTCATCAATCTGGGATGGGGAATTGATAACAGACTTGTCTGGGAACAATGTGCTCCCTCCAGTCCACGTGGGAACGCTCCAATCTGCCCATCTCAGTACTTTGAGGAGAATTGACTCGACATTTGACATTGACAAAATTTGACATTGAACAAAATTCATGAAGAATACGACAATGCTTAAGCACCAACCGAACCTACACGCGAAAAGTTCGAAGATCTTCGTAGATAATGGACACGGGGAAATGAGTCGAATACAGGACGTGTTGGGATCCGTACAGTAAACATTAAGACAGGTCTTGTTATATTAATAGAAATAATTGCTTGTGAATTCTCCTATTAGAGCAGTTGTTCCTAAAAAAAAATCTCTCAGGTACACAAAATGTAGTGGATTTCTTTTAACCTCAAGTATTTTCTTTGCGTAATTTCAAATTCGTTTTTAGGCATTCGGAAGCCTTTATGAAATCAAAAATAAATGTGGGAACAATTCCTTAACATGTTAGGAATTGCGTAAATAATCGATTTCTCAGTGAGTAACTTGCGCTACACCTAAACCTGCACAATTGGCCAGTGTACAGCATAATTTAAAACGATCAGGCCAGTTACTTTATAACACTGAGTGCGTCAATGTCTGATCCACCACTTTTATTCAGCAAAGGTTCACAGTGCAGATTTCGATGTTGGCGTTCGTGAGACTAATTTATAGTGAAGCGATGTCACGGTTATTTCTTGAAGTGCACGAATTTCTTTCTCAGACCGCTTTGCATGCTGCACCAATCTAGTTATTTACGGCATGCTCATGCTAACACACAAAAATATATGCGAAAACCACTTCGTGTTTTAGCGATATTATAAATCGGAATAGATTTAAGAACAAAAGACTGAGCTGGATTTTATGCAACAAAAACAAATTGCTGTTTCTCAAAACAGTCCTTGTGCACACCTTACAGCGTTCACCTAGGTTATGCTTCCACTCGCGCACTATTGTTTCATTTGGTAATTCTTAGGCCACATCTCGAAGAGTAATGAAGAGTGTGTGAAACGAGTGGCACAAGAAGAGGAACCAGTAACGTGTTAAGGAACCAACAGCAAGACCAACGTTAAGGTTGCGTAGATTGGGAAATTTCGTTTTTCGTAAGAGGCAAGCAACTAATGTAAAAAGCACGCATATCCTGTATGTGTGCATATGGTGTGAATTTTTTTTTACACGACCTTTCTTCACATCTGCGTGGATCCTACCACTTTTTGCATTAGATTCGTTTCCTCGCAACCATCACCTACGAAGGTCTCCGACAGTTTCATGTGTTGATGCGGTTGTCTGAGGATTGTGGTGTTCCATATGAATGTCACCGAATGCTGTTCGAGTGGATTCTCACAAGAGGCTTGGGATTCAACCACAATGACGCTGAGATAACTGCAAAACTCCGGACCGCTATTACCCTTTCCTTAGACTAACGCGATCACGACCACATCATGCGGGTTCTCCGCTTCGTCTGTCTCTCAATCCCTTCGTTCCCCTCTGCAGACATTTGCGGTTCGAAGTTTTGCAGATATCTCAGCATCATTGCCGTTGTATCACGCGTAATAGCCTGCCATAAAAAACTGTAATAGGAAGTCTTGGGATAGTCAGGAAAGAGCGTTCATGTGTATTCTTTCTTTGATGAGCTTACACGAGGTTGATAATGATGTTTATTTTCGGCTAACGTTTCGACGTCTTCGTCTTTCTCAGAGCCGATGATCCGAGTCGATGGTCCTCGCTTGTTATTCTCCTCGACGTGGCAGCTTCGCCTTCTTGTCGAGTTAGGTCTTCTTCAGTGAGCCATCTCCTCGAATGAGGCATCCTTACTCAGTGATGCCCTTTTATACACGATGCTGATGGTCGATATTAGGGTATTAATATTCCAACCCTGAAGGAATCGGAGACCTGGTGAGCCCGTGGTGGAGTCGAGCCAACACCGTGCTCGTGATGCACGCCATCACACCACTGCATAGAAAAGAATATACCCACGCACACATGCATGAAAATGTCGTTGTAGAAACAGAAGGTATTTGTCAGATCGGCACAGAAAAAACATCCAAGGGATGGATTCCATTTCCTCGGATCCACCTACGTGTCGGGGAAGCACATGGTCGCTTTTCGTCCACGATTAACCCACTGTCCACCACCTGGTGTTGTCCCACATTGTCTCGCGATTAATCTGATGAGATCCCTTTATTAGGAACGAACATTCGTGATGAGTCAAAAACGCCGTTCTACACAAATTCTTGAAGATAAAATGAGTCAGACACGTAATGTCACACATGAACGAAAACCGATGGAGAAGAAACGTTAGCGACTGGATTCATCGGAATGTCAAGCACATGGTAAGAAGACCATGGTTAGAGTTTTCCACGAAAACTTATGATGCCGAACGAGTCCATAGAGCGTGTAGAACGCACTAAGCTATTCTTACACACGACAGAGAGAAATGGAAGGTTTACTGGTTCCAGCTTGAATCACTGGGCGATCAACTGGATCACAAGTGATACAAGTGATATATATACACATATACACATAGGCAAATATATATGTATATACATACACATATACAAGGTGTGCTAAAGCAGTATCACTCAGTCACTCATGAATGGTGGCTAAATGTAACCGAAATGCGAAGTGGTCTACGATGTGTCATGGGCCATACACTTTCCGTTTTATCGCATCACAGATGTTCGTTTTGTATCGGGACATCAAATGATGACTGTCCGGTCTTACTTTCTGGTATTCTTAACCTTGTCAGAATGCATTAGCAATCGATAATTTGTTTCAGCTTAATATGTATTTTGAAACCACTACAATTTAATAGGTGTGTATGGCGCAGTGGTTTGAGGCGTCACTGCGACACATACGTGGAATCCATCCTCGCACCTATGGCCGACCAAACCTTCCATCTCTCCGGGGTCGGCAAATTGGTACCAGACTTATCTGGGAAGATGGCAGCACTAGCTCGATGCATCGATAGGCCACTGCGAGTCATTGTAAAGGCCAGATATGCATTCAATCACCTCCAACGATACTTAATGAAGTCGAATGCATGGCGCATTTCTGAGGGATTGATCGACGCCGAGAGCTTTATCCTTTTATTTTCTGTTATACGATTTAATTTCTTGGCGTACTTCTCAATGAAAATTTTGACAACTTTTTAGGTACGTAAGTAAAATATCGGTTCAAATGCGCGCAAGAGAAACGATCGAACGCTTTGACATCCAGTTTCGTGAATTAATGTTCAATTTCCGCGAGGTTTGTAACACGCGGCTTTGGAGCGTATTTTGTTTAACGAGTTTGAACTATGTTTATAGTTACAGTATTTTTTCTTCTTACCTTTTAAACTTTATGAGAGATCGGACGGATCTGTACCAGCTGCTGCTAAGAACACAGCACTGCACTCTGTCCTATCTCAACGAACTCAGTATCTACGAGCCGAATTTTCGTACTCTCATATCTAAATGGAAGGCTAAAGATTCACTAAATCGAACTTATCAGCGTTAACATCGTAGTTTGGAATAACCATCAAAGAGCGTTGAGACGTTAGATGAACACAAAAAGAGACAAAGATTCTCGTTAAAATCACAAAGAGAAATTTTAAAAATATAAAGAATATATTTCCAAATCTCGAACTTTTAAAACGGCTTCATTTTCAGCATACAGGGGTATGGCCTCGTCACGTAGTAATTCTGCGAGACGGGGTGTGCGATTCTGAGATGATACGGACCGCTTCAGCAGAGTTGCGCTTTATAAGGTATGAACTGATCTTATTCACTTGCACTGCCTTTATTTAAGATTGAAGAAAATTATAAGCGATATGAAGGAAATTTTCAAATGAAAATCTTGTTTAGAAAAAAGCTCTGCTTCCCTCCAAAATAGGCAGATTATTGCCGGGTTTACGTGGAAAGATGCCAATGCTGACTTAATGCATCAGTAGCTATTTCAAGTTACTACAATAACCAATTCTGCATTCAGCCACCTTTGCTATATGTAACATGTGGTAACCGACGTTAATGTAGATATCCACTCATTTTCGTCATGACATTTTATCGTGCCGTATTCAGGCACTTTCGTCATCAGTCGGTGGCTTATGGGGCACAAAAAGTGAGCGACTCGCTTATTAAAACATACTTGTCTTCCTGTGTTTTCGTCAAGAACTCAGGCCATCGGGTCGGTGGCCTTTCTGCATTACGTTTTACGTCCCCAGAAATCCACTCACTAACAGCTCTTGTTCGTCAAACGCACTAAGTCTCCGGCTCACCTAAATATTGACAGTTTGTCATATAGAGTGACGTTTTTACTTTTTATCGTTAATGTATATCGGAGCTTCGGATCCACTCTCTCACTTGCGTGATGCAGGATGTTCCTAGCATCGTACTTTCGACTGCACGTTCAATAACGATGGCTGATCTTTTATCCTACGGATCACCCTCATATGAGGGATCTCGACAGCCGGTTAGTCGCAAGGCTACGTGGCACGTCCCCAGGTGGCGGATAGGGGGTTAATCGCGGACAAAAAGCGACGACGCTAGTGGATCCAGGGGATGGACTCGCTGTTTCTGCTGCACCGATTTGGCGCACACCTGCTGTAATTACGATCCACAAATGTATGCAAGGGTATGTCCTCGTTTATACGGATTGTATTCTACCATCGATTGGGCTGAAACCGTACAATCGAGTGGCAGGGAAGTACGCAGGAGGCGGTTAATAGTTGCCTCCCACAAACAAGCTCCCCATCTACTCAGGGTGGCACTGGAAAGCTACTTTTGGGTAACTTACCCCTACGTTCAGAGCTCAGCAAGCTATACGTGAGTATCAAAAGGTTGAACACAGTGAAATAAACGAATCTCATTTCCTTTCCACTGAAGAAGCCCCCAATTCGGAGCGTAGAGTAGGACGAGTACGAAAGCGCTACTAAAATTTCAGGTTCACTCTAGGCTGTCTAAATTGCAAAGGATTGAGGCGACGATCTGTACCTACAATGCACACAGACCTCGATAGAACAGTTGATAATGCAAGCAAGAAGAATGAGGTACGACGTCACCGGCTTGCCGAGACGAGAATACGCCACCCTTTCAACATCGGAGAAGAATTGTTCCTCGGACTATGCCTCACAAGTGAAGTCAGCGGTGTCAGTGTTCTCCTCAACACGAGCGTGTCTATAAATATTGATTCATTCGAACAACAAACAACCCGAATCGGGCGTTTACGATTAAGAAGATGTGGATCAACACCGGCTTTGACAATCTTCGTTGTTTACGCGCCGACATCAAACTATGACGAAGAAGAAGTCGAAGCGTTCTATATGGACTTGGAGAAGTTTTACAGAAAAGACCACACATTTTTCGAGGTCATCATTGGAGATTTCGACATCAAGATTAAATGAAGAAGAACGACTGAAGAACGTCATATTGGAACCCACGGATTAGAATGGAACGAACACGGTGAGCGGCTCTCTGAGTTTATCATGAGGGACAAGACTTTCCATGGTAACTCGCAATTCCAGAAGTCGCACCCTCAATGCTGGACGTGGGGGTCTCGCAGTGGAGAGCACCATAATGAAATAGACCATATCGTAGTGAATCGAAAGTTTCGCCTAACCGATGTCGCTATTATCCCAAAATTCTACACGGGATCAGACCATGGCCTCCTTCGTGGAAGATTCTATTTCTCGTGGAAAAGAGAAAAAGCCGATCAATTCAAAAACCGAAGTCCCAGAACCAATAAAGACTGGGAATTATTCAATTCACTGGTCGGGGGTTGGGAAGATGCCGTTGTCGATAACATCGACGAGGAATAAAATCGGCTCATTCAACATCTTCACGTTAGCGCTATGAAAGCTTAGAGTTCGAAAGCCACCAAGACATGCGTGCCTCCAAAACACTTGAGCTGATACGCCAGTGTGGAATCGCACGAGCTGCAGGCAACCGCGAGTTAACGTCCGAACTTCCAAAACAATGCAGACAGACGCTCATAAAAACGACGTTCTTGTGGAACAGATTGGTTTCGCGTCCCCCATCCATGCTCTACGGAACGAATATATCCGAGTGCTCCAATTATGTCTATCTAGGTCGGGAAATCAGCATGTTGAATGACTTAGCTCCAGAGTTGAGCAGAAGGAACACGAGCGGCTTGGGGAGCTTTGGGAGCTTTCAAGAGCATCGAGGATGTAGTGAAGAGAACAAAGAACATCAGACTCCATGTCCACATTTTCGACTTAGCGGTACTTCCTCTCCTAACGTATGCGTCAGAAACTTGGCCGCTGCGTAAGCAGGGTTAAAGATCACTCAGCGTTATTGTACGTGCAGCGGAAAGGACGTTGTTAGGAGTATCCTGTTTCATACAAGTAAGGGAAGAGATCCGAAGCTTCGCGCTACGTCAACGATCAAACAACAACCATGCCGTTCTGTACGCCAAACAGTAGAAGATGAGGCGGACAGAGCACGTAATGAGTATGAACGACAACCGGTATACAAGAGCCGTTAGTGACTGGATTCCTCGGGATATTAAACGCCCTGCTAGAAGGCCACCGAATCGGTGGTTAGAATTTTTCACGAGAAGCTCCAGAAGAAAGATGATGCTCGGCAAGTCCCTAAAGCGAGCAGGATCCACTGGGCTACCTTTGCACTCGACAGGGAAAAATGGAAGATTTCCTGGCACCCGCTCGAGTCACTTGACGATCAACGGGACTATAGGTGTTACGGGTGACAGGTGATCTTTCACCCGGACCAAGTTTCTGACGCATACGATAATGTGTGTGGAATCGTGGAGCCGAAAAGGTGTGCACGAAGTCAGGTGTTTCTTGTTTCTTTCACTATATGCTGAATTCTCTTTAAAGCTCTTAAAGCGGTGGCTCTCTCCTGCATAACTCTAGAGCTAATTCGTTCATCACGTTGATTTGTCGAACTAGAGGTAGACGTCGTTGGAGTGTTCGGAGATATTCACTCATTTGAGCATGAGTGGAGCATACGAAACCAATCCGTTCATCATGGATATCGTTTCTGTGAGATTTATTTGAAGACCAATCTTTCTATAGGCTTTATGAAAGTGGTAAAGCATTCGTTCCGTCTGGATAATGCTGTGTTATAAAAACGGTGTTATCAGCAAGACGAGGATGGTTAATTGCCGACCACCGATTTTCACTTCAGTGTTGCTCCATCCCAGTGTTCGCTCGACGTTCTCGTTGGAAACGGTAAATATTTTTTTCGGAATGGTATCACCTTGCTTAATCTTTCTTTTGAGGTCGATATTAATATTGTTATTGGATGGTGATATCCTGGTTGTGGAGTTTTCATATAGCTCACGAAAAATGTATATATACCGATTAGGTGCTCTCTGGCTTTCTGGGACTTCTATAAGTGTTCTTATCTCTGCTAAATCAAAAACATGCTTTAATTCGACGAAAATGAGTCAGAGCGGTGTCTTGCACTCTCGCAACAGTCCAGTGAGTCTTGTTATCATGTGGATGTGGTCTGTCGTGCTGCATGCTTTCCGAAACTTTGTCTGTTCACACGGCTGTTCTTCGTTCTGTGTTCTGCCAACTCTGTCTAGGACGATTTGAGTGAAAAGTTAATCATGTTTTGAACGACTAGAGTGAAGAGTTTATTGATGAGAAACAACAAGCAGATGGGGCGATTGTTGCCGATATTGTGTAGATGACCCTTCTTGAATAATAATTAAGTTGTGCTGCCCCTCCCATGGAAAGAGAACATTGAATTCTGATAGACCACGTGTACGAAGAGAACTAATGTGTTTATGAGGACAAACAAGAAGATTCTTTGAAGTATTTAGATCTTATTCTATCCGGACCTAGTGTGCTGAATCTGTAGTATAGATCACAATGTAATCATTTCTGATTCACTATCTGCTCTTTTTTCATGACAGGATATAATGTGAAACATAACTACAAAGATGCTGAGATATTTGCTACAGCTAAAGTAAATTCGGTACCGATTTGTGCTCCCCAGGTCAGTCCGGCTGACCGCTGTTTGCTAATAGCACCTATAGGTTAAAAGACGGCTAAGGAAAACGCGAAACAAAAGACCTGCATGGTGTGATGGTGAAGACATTAGCCCTCGAAAAGGGTAATAGCGGGTCCGTTCCCCAACGCAGGCACCTGTGGTTCAGAGTTTTGCAAATATCTCATCATCTTTGTAGTCATATATGTAGATATGTGTACGTGTAAATGTCTGATGTGCATGTATACGACCTTTTAAATTCCATTTTCATTGAATCTCATAATGGGTATTTAGTGCTGTGGTTTATTGATAGGCTTACAGAATATTGTTACAAATCGGCTCCTACGTTTATATAGTACTAATTGAACTGCTACGAGATGAATTGTCACCCAAAAACAATTTTAGTTGACAATCGATATCACAGTAAGGTTAGCCATAGTAAAAATTCTGCCAATCTCATGTCGTGTCAGTTGCTCAGAACGAGGAATGTAAGCTTAAATATCAGATACAGAACGTTAAGGAGGATGTTTAGAGACTTCTGATCTGATTACATCGTCATTCGTTCATCGTGCGTACTTGTGGGACACTGGCTTTCCCATTATTTTGTTGTGTTCCTTTCGTTGACAATTCTTGTACAGTAAATTTAGCTATATAGAATGGTATACGCAGTTATTTACCGGAGATTTTGTTCTCTTACTCTTTTCCCTATTTTCTACTTTTCTGAAGTTTCATTTCTCTGAATTTCTTTCCATATTTGGCAACATTTCTGCAGAAAGTCATGGGAGAAGTTGACTGACGATTGCCCTGATTCAAAACCCACCTACACCTATATCACAATTCAGAAACGTCACCTCACTCGCTTCTACCAGCCAGGTGATGGTCAAGATGGATACAAGACGTGAGAGTTTTTTATTGTTTGTACACTACCACCTTTGCTTTTTCAACCTTATTTGATTTCTTTCGAATGTTTTAAAAGGACCAACATTTAGTTACGTAAACCTGCCTTCTGGTACTGTGGTCGACAATGTAGTGGTCTCTCCAATTCTCTTCGATTTCTATATGGTTTCACAAATAGGAGTTTTGGTTGGTGCAGCGATGAATTATACAAGAAAATTAAGAGACAAATTTTGTCTTGCAGGGAACTGCTCGTCCTTCCCACTACACAGTAGTTTTCGATGAGTGGGGTCTCAGTGCCGACAAAATCTATGTTTGTTTATGTTCTTTGGCTTTTATTTCTTTCGCTATGACGTATATGATTGTTGTTGTCCAGTTCTCTAGCTATCATTTTTTATCTCTTCTTGAGCTAACGCGTTCAAATATAGCAGACAGTTTAGGAGATGTGCTATCGGCTTTGTTTTCTCTATGCCCGTTGTCGCACTCCCGTTTCTCTTCCCTGTCCTGTTTATTATGCCCATCGTGCGTGTGAAAAGGCAAAGGAGGTTTACAAGTCGTTGCTAAAGTTAGTTTTGTTTTATTGGACCAGTGAAACTTTAATAAATTTTCATTAAAATGAACACACTTGAATATGACCTTATTGAGTATACCCTCTTCTTAACAGGTACTCTTGGAAAAGATGTCGTCAGCAGAACTAAGGTTTGACAGGATTTTATCATCAATGAGTATACCTTTATTGTCCCAGTTGACCGATTTCATTGTCTTAGGTGCCACCGCAAACATCTGAAATGAGATGATGTCGCCCTATCAAATCCTTCTATCTAGGGGAATTGTAGGGGCTCAATGGTTATGTTGTATTTTTATGTTGTAATCATGATGGCAGTCATCCAGAGTTTTTATATAAGGCGGGCTCCCTTCTTTATGCACAGTCCCTGATAGGACTACATTCTTTTCGACGTTGTCAAACGCTTTTTTGCAGTGCATGAAACATTAGGACAGGAGGAACGTGGTACTTTTGGCCTAATTGCTCGATCTGCAATACGGTTTGCATGTGATTCATGCATCAGAAGTCTTTTCGGGATCTTGTTTGCGCAACTGGTTGTGCCTTATTCAAGGTTTTTGTCAAGTATATTCTTTGTCAAGAGCCTATGGAATGCACTCAACAGCCAAGTCGTTCAATGGTTACGAAGATCTCTTCGATCACCCTTGGGAAGGATGATTGTACGAGACGTACGTCACTAGTCTGTGGTTTTGTTGTGAGAGAAGTTTATGTCCTTGATGGCTTTCAGCTCTACGGAAATCGGCTGTAATATTACCGCTTTTTTGAGTTATGTCTTTCTTCACCCTTTCTATCGCAGCTCTACTTCAAGCGGAGGAATTCCAGGCGTGTTTTCCTTGGCAAGGATATTGGGGTGCAGGATGAGTAATGTCGAACGGCTTAGGTTTATGTGGGCAGTATGCCCTAAACCTTAAGTGTATATAGAGTTAAAATCGTCGCAAAATTGAAGGGAAAATTTGAATTTTTCAAAATTTTCAACAAAAGATTATCGGTCGAAAATATCAACAATGCAGTGAAGAGCATAATAATGTCATGGCATATGGAATTCCGTTTGTTCAGTTACTTTCGTGTTCGAGACATGACCCATGGCGCAAAATTATCATTTCCTGCCATCAAAAAGAGTAGGCAGTAAATAAAACGGTTAAGATTGTGATTTCAACTACAGCCTCAGCTTAACTGGGTCCAATGCTGATGTGAGCTTCCCAGATCGATCCCGCTGACGGGTGATTGCTGATGGCAAAAAGATCGATAGAAGTAGCTGAGAGACACACGAAACGAAGGACCAGCATGGTGTGGTGGTGAAGTGCGCTACTCCCCGGAAAGGACAATAGCGCGTTCGTTGCCCACCGCATACATTTGCAGTCCGGAGTTTTGCAAATATCTCAGCATCACGGAAATTATAAATGGATCGTTTTCTTTCCCAGCAATCGCGAGGTTGTTATTCAGTGCACGTTTACTTACTTACAAAAGAACACATACAACTCAACAGTAGCTGACGTTTCGGTGGTCTGCCTTCTTCAGAGCCTGGAATGGTACATTCATACGAATTTGCTAGGCAAATCGCTTCAATAACACAAACATAAAGATGAGAATCTGATTCATAATTACAGGATCAACAACTCGAAAACCCACCGCCTTTTGCGTGCCTTACACTGAGGAAGAACAGCCGCTTAGAGTGGCACATGGTTGATGGGGTGCGTTAAGACGTGGTCCAGTCCTCTATTTGAGAATCGACTTTGATGTGGAGTGGTGCACCGATAAACCATATGGACTGTAAGCGTCTGCTCTTCCTTAGTGCGAAGCATGCGGAAAACGATGGGCTTTTCCAGAAGCTGTTAGTCCTATAATTATGATTCCGTTTTCATATTTTGTTTGCGTTGTTTAAGCCTTTGACGTAGTATATTACGTTTCTATATAGCCGTTGAGGCTCTGAAGAAGGCAACACTGCCATAACGTCAACTATTGTTGTATTGAATGTGTTTTGTGCGAAACTAAGCGTGTACTATATAACAACCTCGCGGTTTCTAAGAAGGAAAACGACAGAGAATAAACTAAGTTCTACTTTTACGGTAAAAAGTTGTTTTACCACGCTTTTATATTTTTTATTAGTTTCAGTCGAAATGTGTTTGTCAGTCTTAGCGAAGAAGACCTTGACATGAGGAAAATTGAAATTGAGAAGCGATTGTCAGTAGACCGTCGGTATCCTGGTATGCATTTTGTTTAGCGCTGTTGTAATACTTCGTTGTCTCAACTTGAGGTGCTCAACTTTCGTTATTCTGCCAAGGCGATCTTTAACTTGTTCACTGTAATGTCTATTGCTAGTTCTCAAATTCGCCTCTATGCCTAAAATCTTTTTATGTATATCTGCCCTGTTTGCAACTAATCACACTTTGTTATTTTTCAGCGCTTCTCAATTTCTAAATATGCACGTGCAGTTGCTTTCTAGTTCTTTATCTCCCTATAATTGTATTGCATTCCATTCGAAAGGAGTTTTATAAATCTTCAAAAAAAGACTCGCACAGTGTTTATTCCTCCTGTGAGCTTGTAATTTCGGCTGGGTAGGGTGTTAAGAAAAAGTGACTAGTGCCATTTTCCACATCTACAGCTTGCCATGAGAATTACAGCGGAGTTTCGACACGAAGTATCAATATGTGACTGAAATAACCGACTTTTTTTTAATAGACCCTGGTAGTAGTAATTAACATATGTTGTTACTAGAAACTACCTTGTTGAACTGACGCGAGGTTGATATCAGTTGTTCCTACCGTCGTGATTTTATGGGTGACGCCTCAGCCAATTAGCATTCCTCGGAGTCTGTAGTACTAATGAAGACCTATTGTGTAAATACCTGATACTTTGTTTAAAGCCACTCACGTTTTTAAACAACGGGAAATGCGGAGCAAGAGCCTCGGTGGGGCAGTGTGTAATGCGCGAGCCCCCAGAAAGGGAAATCGTGGTTCGATCTGGCCCAGCGTTCAAGTTTTGCGAATATCTCAGCATCCTTGTGGCTGACATCGCATAATATCCTAACGTGAAAATTGTAGTAGGCAGTAAATAAAAAAGTAAGCATTGTGATTTCCACTGCAGTCTCTGTTTAATTGGGTTCAATGCTGATGTGGGCACTCCACATCAATCTCGTTGATGGGTGATTGCTGATACCACTGGTGGATAGAAAACCAGCCGAGAGAAACTCAGCGTAAGGGTTTCCATGGGGCAGTGTGTAAGGAGCTAGTTCCTGGAAAGGGAAATCGTGGTTCGGTCTGGCCCGGCGTCCAAGTTTTGCGAATATCGCAGCACTATTGTGGTTGAACTCACGGTTTTGTTAGGTGCGGGTTGTTCATCACCTGTTCTTCACGTGGAATGACGAGTGAAATTCACCCAGGTTAAAAAATCAATAGTTAGCTGATAGTTCTGACACAGTGGCATGCTATTTCCTGCTATTTGTCGCGCAGTGAATAAAGGAAACCGTATTCTTATCCAGTGCTTAGTCATTTGAGAATGTGCTACTGGCGATAATGACATGTGCTAGAATTGCTATTATTACATTTTTTGCTTTGTAGTCAAAAGTATACGGCTAGTAGAAAGGTCGAAAAGGTTATATCTCACAGTTGAAAAATATATAAGTAAACGGTAGAAATTATAATTCAGTGCTGAGCAAAACTGATGGCGTGTGGTGCTGTGTTTGTGTGGGATTTACAACAGATTCAGAAAAGACGGAGGTCCAGTTGATATAGTTAAGGGAACTCGAAGGCAGGATATATAGATCGTAACTGCTTGGATGTAAGCGCTCCCTATGTTGAATCGTTACTTGCAACCCCATGTATCGGCATTAAACACTAGACCCGCCACTGACCGATCTCTGAAAGCCACCAATCAAAGCATGTATTTACGGCTTCGAAAGCGTCACTTCTTTATGATATTGGTCCACCTTGGCAGCTGGATCCTTTTAAAATTGCTGACAAAAGAATGCACAAGACAGGGATTCAATCGCCTTTGGTAGTGACTTCAGATGCTTCTCAAATGGGTGATTGTGGAATTAACACTGGGCAGGTATTCATGGAAAAACAGTCAGTAATTTCGGTGACATTGTGAACACACCTCTAGTAGAACGAAATCTACACAACCATTAGGGTACTGAGATATGAGCGAACCTCAGAGTCTCACTTCAGCTTGGAACCTGTGGCTATCTGCCACACCAACTGTATCTACTGCTAAAACGTCAGCTACTGTTGTACTGCATTGTGTTTTTCTATAGAAGTAAATGTATGCTGTAAAACAACCTCGCGATTGCTGAACAAGAAAACGATGCACTCATATTTCAATGCCGAGGTTAATAGAAAGTCGATCCTGGGAACTATATCTACACAGCCACAAGATTGCTGAGATATTTGCAAAACTTCGGACCGTAGGTGTCTGCGGTGGGGAACGAACGCGCTATTGTCCTTTCCCGAGAATAACGCGTTCACTAACGTAGCAATCCCGCTGTTGGGTGATTGCTGATGGCAGAAGTCGATAGAACGAGCAGAGAGGCAGGCGAAACGAAGGACCAGCATGGTGTGGTGGTGAACGCGTTACTCTCCGGAAAGGACAATAGCACGTTCGTTCCTCAGCACAGACACCTGCGGTCTGGAGTTTTGCAAATATCTCAGCAATTTTGTGGCTGTATTTTGCTTAATACCTTGCCATAAAAATAATAGAAGGCAGAAAATAAAAAGCAAACATGATATCTACACAGTTTTCCTCAGTGGTATCATCTTATTTCGGCATTTCAGTATCGAAGGTACAGTACCCTGGCAAAATAGCCACCAAGAAGAGAAGGCTTCAAAATCTATGTCCACTGTTCGCTGTGCACTAGTGCATTATACGTTGTCTTCGGGGACGGACAGCACAATGGTAATGATGTCGATCATCACGAGTACGGTGCTAGTTCGATTTTGCACCGGGCTCATCAGTCATCTCTCGCCCTTCTGGGATCGGTGGGTTGTCTGAAAAAAAAATATTCTCTGCAATCCAATCGGGAACAATCCAGTCCGGCTATCTCAAGACTCCCGGGGGAATCGAATCAACCAGCATTCCACTACATTAAAGATGAAATGAAAAGATCTTCAAGGAGTAACCAAACCAACACGTTAGAACGTAGAAAAACTTTGTGGGTGACGGATGGCAGGAAACGAATCGAATGTGAGAAGTACTGAGATCTGCAAAGCAGACATGAAGACTGGTCATATAAAATAAAATAAAATAAAAACTACGCTGTCTTCTTGATGAGAACACACCATGCTTTGATATACTATTTATTTATCCACAAAATTTTAAGCCTGCACTTTCCTGATAGCCTGGAAGGGTTAAAATATTTACAACCTAACCAGCTAAACACCTCCGTAACCTCAGCAGAAAAACCACGATACCTTCTTTAAATCGCTTGCGAAACAAGGAAGCTTCTTCACACACTCGTTGCTTTCTGTGAGTTTTCAGCCAAGTGTTACACGTGGGGAGCATTAATGGAGAGTTCGTATGGATGGGTTATGGGCCGCTCTGACGTTAAAATATCGGCCTGAGTTAGTATGTGAGATCACGCGTTATAAGACACACCTACGAAACGCTTGAAAATGGCCCCTCTAGAAAATACGGTGGCAGTGATTGAATAACCACCGAACACTACAAGGCGCTAGATACTTCGTAAACGTCTGTATGGTCGTCTACGCACAACGCAGAATTGCATAATGTTCCCCAGAGGTAAAAGCGGTGACTGCATGAGTTCGGGTACAATGGGTATCTAATCTCTTGTGAAGCGTTGAGGGAGAAATACGCTGGCTCAACGGGTAGAGTACTGCATATCAGTATAAAAAAACATCAAATCGGTATACTTAAAGTAAAAGGTGTAAGAGGGAAGATTTTGGAGAAATGTCACTATCCTAGTACAAGAACCAAAACCTCAGATCGCAAAACTATCAAAGCGTCTGGAAAAAATCCAGAAAACCAAAACTGCATGGCGAGAAGAAACGCCTCGTCGTTGCGAATGATCTCACACAATCTCAGGCCGATATTTTAATGGGAGAGAGGCGCATTACCCGTCCGTTGAAGCTCCGTGTAGTTGGTCTTCGTGTGGGAGACAAGTAGAAAGCGATGAGTGTGCGAAGAAGCTGTTAATTTTCTATTTTGATCAAGAATAAATTAACATTGTTCTTCTATTAATACTTTGTAGATATTTGGCTCACTAGGTTGCACATCATCTTGACCTTTCTACTATATGAAAAGGATGCAATCCGCCGAAGCCTCAGCTATTATAGCAAAGTAGGGCAAAAACAACCTCGTGTCTTGTTTCATTGATAACACGAGATTGTTACCAATAATTATTCGGCTAACGTTTCGACGTCTTCATCTTCCTCAGAGCCCATGATACGAGTCAATGTCCACAGTCGTTAGACTCCTCGATGTGGTGTCTTCGTCGCGCATCAAGCCGGATCTTCTTTACTTTGCTCTTTCCTTACCTCTTGTCCGCTCATCAAGCGAGCTTTAAATTATTGATCAATGCAAAGATTACTAGAAAGTCAGCTTTGGGAATTGTTTCCATAGATTCCTTATGCAGATCCATATTCAGCAATGGATTTCGTTCTACCTCTAGTAGGCATTTTCATGTGAAAAAACGTTTTTTGTAAAGATTCGACTACAAACGTCTACGAAAAAGATAATCGAGCTTCTACTTTTCTCTCTATAGCGCTTTTCTTGAAAATAATATTGTTTTGGGGTGTTTACTTCCGATCTCAGTTGCTTCTGGCAAAAGTAGACACCGTGATTGGTAGCTGTCACAACCGCTGTTCGTCTTCAACCCTGTAGTTGCTCATTTTTCTCAAAAGAAACGTCAACATTTAAAATTTGTGACTTCGCTTTGCTTTCTAGTGATGTCAGACCAGCCCTAAATAAATACTGCAATTTCAGCAAAGTTTACAACGTTCCAATTTTCCTGGCGCTCCTTGGTTATTAGATTGCCGTAAGATTTCTTTACGTATCTACTGGTTTGAGAAAAAAAACCTTCATAGAACCAGTGTTGTTTTTTGTAGATGAATTTCTAAATTCAAGTTTTTTAGAAAAATGGTAGCAAACTTAAACATCGTTCTTTTAGGTGAAAGACTTGAATAGAAATCTGGCATTTTGTTAGCTAACGTATGAAGAGCTGAGTCATTGTGTTGATCGTAGAAGCTATAGGGTTTCCGTTGAAATGCCATAGTCTGACAATGACACCACACCGTTCCACGTGATCGCTATTGATCTGGTATGGCTATCTCTATGTAATAATCAATTGTCGTCCAATCCACAGATTGAAGATAATAATGGAAAGACAAATGGAACAACTAAAATCGCCTAAATTTGAAGTGCCTTTGAAACCTATCCATCTTGAAGAACCAGGAGAATATGCATCGATGAAGAAGCACAGATGGGTCGATCACAAAGTAAGATAAACGGATTACAGGTGAATGAAAGGAACAGTAGAGCGGATTCCAGCAGAATGTAAGCGTCCTCTTTAAGGAACACCCAAACGATGGAAGGACGTATACGTTGCTATCGTCGGGCAGACGTATCCGTGGCTATCGTCAACCATCTGCATTCGCAAATGAGAACAATTTCAGGATTTCGGAATGGGCTTAGCGGACGACATCATGTTCGAGCCAGACCACCTCCATGGATGACGATTGTGCGAAACAGAAACCGACAGCAATTATGCTGGGGCACGCACCACCCGTGAAGATGGGCGATCCAACTATGTAAGTGTCTAACTTCAATGGTGCTGAGATATCTGCAAAACTCCGGACCGCAGGAATCTGCGGTGGGGAACGAGCGCCCTATTGTCCTTTCCGGGGAGTAACGCGTTCACTAATGTAACAATGCCGCCGATGGGTGATTGGTGGTGGCAGAAATGGATAGAACTAGCTGAGAGACAGGCAGAACGAAGGACCGTCATGGTGTGGTGGTGAACGAGTTACTCTCTGGAAAGGACAATAGCGCATTTGTTCCACACCGCAGACACCTGCGGTTCAAAGTTTTGCAAATATCTCAGCACCATTGAGGTTATATTTCGCAATATACCCTGCCTTTAAAAAAAGATTAGGCAGTAAATAAAACGGTTAGGATTATCTAAGTATTTTTTTACATTTTTTTTCGGAAATTTTAGAAAAAAATGTTTAATAAATCAGAGGATCCAACATGTCGAAACATTAGAGCTAAACCATTTCAGAATGGCAATTGCTCTGCCCAGTGCTAGGCTCTATTCCTCATCGTCCTCCTCCTGCGTGAGGAATTTCCGTTTTTTTCTCCTTATAGCTCTCTCTTTTATAGTTTTTCTTCAATAGATTACCGAATATTCTTCATTCTTACGTGCCGAAAAGTTGAGATTCTTGACAGACAGACATAAAATAACTTTCTCCTGGCGTCAAACTATAATATTAGAACATGCAGTACTGATTCAAAATGGAATGTGCACTTACAAAAGCCTTCAAAAACCCGTCAGAGAAATTAAAACTGGGATTTCATGCTAAAGTAACATGTCTTATGACAATTATCAGTGTTTGTATAATGTTAGACTTATAATATGTGGCCGGCGTACATCAACAAATGACACAATTTGTCTTGTTTTTTGCCTTCAGATGTTCCATGTCGGCTACATCGATACCACTGTAGGCACGTGTACTCGGCATCGATTGTCTGAAAACCAAAGACTTTTGTAATGAACGAATAGATGAATGCTCATGAAGAGCCAAGTGGAATTCTTTTCTTTAGGGTATTTGACCCCTCCCTACAATTGCCTTCTTTCAATATGAGAATTTTTACGCTGATAAGTCTCCTTTTAAGCAGCTCCTGAGACGCAGTGATTGGAACCATCTTGCGATACACTGGTGGTAGTCCTTGGCTCAATCAGACGTTCCAGACTCATTAAGCCTTGCCTTTCATCTCTCCGAGGTCGGCAAATTAGTACCAGCCTTGTGCTGGGAGGATATCACTGCAGATTTGATACATCAGTAGGCTACAGCAAGTTATTGTAAAGGCCGGTACCCCGTCCTTTTTAACGATGCTTGGTGAAATGGAATGCGTGGTGAACCCTTCAGGAATAGATCACTGCCAAACGCTTTATCGTTTACTGTTTTATTTCCTTTTCGTTAATTCAGTGTTTCTTGATGAGCAAACAGAAGATTGTTGTTGCCAATATTTATTCATTCATAATAGCCGACGTTTCGACGGCTTCTCTTTCTTAGAAGCCTGAAAAGGTCGAATTGAAACGCAATCCACTCAGTCAAACACTGTCGTAGCTTTAGCAGTAAAACTTTATACATAAGTGTTCATTTTCATATTTAAAAGCTTTTCTTAAACACTCACCGGTTTTAACTTATTATTTACTGCCTACTATTTTTAACGACAGGTATATTGCGAAATATAACTTCAATGATGCTGAAATATTTGCAAAAGTCCGCACCACAGGTATGTGCGGTGGGGAACGAACGCGCTACTATCGTTTCCGAAGAGTTGAGAGAGAGACGAAACAAAGGACGCGCGTGTGGTGGTGAACGCGTTACTCCCCGGAAGAGATAATAGCGCGTTCGTTCCCTACCGCAGACACCTGCAGTCCGGAGTTTTGCAAATACCTCAGCACCGTTAAAGTTATATAACTCACCGGTTTGTTTTTTATAACCCCTCCAGTTATTATTGGAGACTAGCCGTAAAGAGTACTACATGGTGAAAAATATGCCTCGCCCAGATTAAAAAATCACTTGAAGTGTGGCGCGAGATCACGCGTGACGACGTAACAGCCCCGTACAGTTCACTTTTGGGATTCACGGAGTTTGGCCAGAATGCATCGACGGCTTTATGCCTGCTGTTTTGGGTTGCTATACGAGAACGGTGACTTCTAGTTCAAAATCTTCTTCGCTATTTCTTTGTGTCCCATGCGGGCCTGGTGGGAGCATATTATCTAAATTTGACTTTTTTGAGTTTACCGACTAGGCCGACTTTTATAGTTACGAAGAGTGCTCAATCCGTTTCGCCAACATATTCGTTCCCGCATGCTATACAAGAGGTTAGGTACATAGCACTCGAACTCATTCAATAACTGTCTGTACCGTTAGAGCCAATTATACATTTGCTTTTCTTTTCGTTTTCGCGTCACACCTCAGGCTAATCTTTTGATTTTAGCCAGGCATATTTCTCACTAATGTAAGGCTCCGCGAAGCCGATCTCTAATAACTAGAAAAGTTATAAAGGATGAAACGGTGAGTAAAAGAAACCGTTAACCATTAGAACAAAAATCTGGCTGAGAGAAAGACAAGGATGGGGTCTCGATTGGTGCATTGGATAACATGTGAGCGGAAAGGAAATCGCGGGTTCAAAGCTCAATTAAGGTTTCAAGTTTCAATGATATTTTAGTGTTTTTTTGGTTGTGGTCTTACAATACCCTGCGTTGGAAACAAAAGAATATATTATAAATAAAAGTTGATATATTGTGAAAACGGTGAGTGTTTAAGAAAAACTGTTCACTATGCCAATAAAAACTTATGAATCAAATTTTGTCTGCTAAGGCTGTGAAAGTCTTTGACTCGGTAGACTGTGTGTTACTTTGACCTTTCCAGACTCTGAAGAAGAAAAACCGCCAAAACGTCATCTATTGTGATTGAATAAATGTTGTGATAACAACCTCATATTAGCTGATAAAGCAAGCAATGAATTATTGATCAATGCTGAGCTTAAAAGAAATTCAGTCGTAAGATTTCCTTTTCATTCCTCTCACTTCTTTCACTTTCCTACTGTCATCACCATCATGAACTCACCGTCGCTTCGTCATCTCTGTCATACCGATACGATTCCGATCGCGCAGTCCTTCTAAAAGCCCCTTGAACACATCAGTAGCCTGAATAATTTTAGTCCCTTTTTTAGAAATAACATTCGCTTGAAAACTAGGGAGTTTTTCGCCGTCTTTTACCGATTTTTTTCCTTTTTATTCGTTTTCCATATAGGGATTCAAAAAATTTGAGCTTTTATATAAATATTCGCAAGATAAAAGCAGATATACAGATGAGTAGATTTTTCTATCAAAATCTCAGATTCCAACACCAATCAATAGGCAAGGTTCGAATAACTCTACTTATAGTGGCGCCATCGTTCATCTTCTGTTAATCGTATGCATCGCAGTATATATGTTCCACAGGAAACACATGAATATTCAAATTACTAGATAAAAATCGAGGAAGAACCGTGCCGAAAGATGCCGTACAATATAAATATGGTCTGTGGTTCGACCTCTCATAGGGCCAGCGCAGACCCCATCAGGGCGAATTGGTACCAAATGTGTTTAGAGAAACAACCTCCGAACCATAAAGGCTAGCGACTTCTTCTGATGATGACAACTCGGAGCGTTCTAGCAGAGTTGCTATCACAGAAATCGAAGATAAGACTAACACCATTCAATGGTGTCTACCAAGAGGGCAAAAATTGTCAAACCACACAGAATGGGACGACAGATCACACAGAAACAAGAAAATAAGGAGTTCCGTCCATTGTTCTAATACCTTACTTGAAATTAAAATTCATTCAGTATCCCACATAGAATATCTGAGTTTTATACCTCATCATGACACTTCGCTGTGCATTCGACAATCGGAATACTTCGGTTGTAGGCGTACTGATGCGATCTCTTTGCCTCCCACTTCATAACGTCGTCGTATAAATCGCACTTGTTCGCTACCAATATCACAGGCACCTAGAATGTGAAGCGTAACAGAAGAAACTTTCTTAGGCCTCAATCTTAACCCTTTTATTTACTGCCTTTTTTCTAATGGCAAAAATATATAGATGTATGCGGTGGGGAACGAACGCGCGCTGTTGTCCTTACCTTACCATTGTCCTCACGGGTGGCTCACCGAGGCTTTCATCCATCCGGGGTCGGCAAATTGGTACCAGACTTGTCTGGGAGGATAGCAGCACTGGTTTGTTACATTGGCAGGCTAGCGCGCCAATCAGCTGCAACAAAGCTCAATGGAGTCGAATGCACGGCGCGTCCCTCAGGGATTGATCAGCACCGAGAGCTTTGCCTATTTTATCCTCTTTATTAGAAGAAATGATATCTGGTGATTATATTCGTCTCTTTTTTCCTGGATTGCCAAAGGACTAAAAACGAGGAGGACTCGGAAAATCTTACTGTTTTATCTCGCTCTTCTTCAATCTCTTCGATGATTCGTTTTGCTTCCTCTAACGACGCAGCGTCATCTATCGAAAAAACCACCTGAAATAAAAAATTTTAAGCTAATTTAGGAAGCTTTACGACATAAAGTAAATGATATAAAAAACATTTACGATCAAAATGTGGTTTTTCGCTGCGAATTTCCAAATTACAAATGCTATGCTTTTTCTACAGTTCGTACCATGAACGCATCCCCTGTTCTGATGTAGAAATGACGCATAGCGAGGAAATCGTGTGACCCACTTGAGTCGATTATCTGCAACGGTCCTACAATCATTCTTTGCGCTCTTTTCGGATAATTCATCTGAGTTTATTAAGCAGACAAGTTAAAAAAAACACCACATGTCCTCGATTCGTGAAGGAATATATTAGATAGTAATGCCATCTGTTTTCAAAGAAACTTAACGTTTCTAGGAAACTTTGAGCTGGAACATTTGAAAAATCTGAACTCAAAGTACAGCAAAGAGTCAACCGCTTTTTACTAGTAGTGAAAAGTAGAATCACCTGTAACATGAGTACACTTCCGTCGCCAATGTCGTACTCGATCCAGTTGAATTCGTCTACCGTAGGCCGATAATCGACAGGAAAGCTGTCCCATAAAAATTGTGATACCAACGCCGACTTGCCAACCTCAATGTTCCGCGGTGGACTACTGTAGTTTATAAAGCTGCTTTCCATACTGTTAATTATTGCATTTTTCTGAATTATCTTCTCATCAACTGAATCACTTCATTATTTCCTTAACGAGCATATTCATTAACTTTACGGAAACATGTACTCGATAAAAGAATTTGGTTCCAACTGGAGCATCGTGGAGGTGATTTGATGCATATTTAACCTAAAGAAAAACTTGTGGGAGCCTAATGATGCATTTATTTTCCTATTAAAGTGGTTCAGTACCAAACTACCAACTTAGGAGGGACATTGAGCCTGGTTAGCCCGAAACGTGAGAAAAAATCAACAAACAAGTGCACCACGAGGTACCCTCTAACAACTGAGCTACTTGCGAGACGTCGGCAGAGTTGTTCTCAACAATTTTCTCGCTTTTCTGCACTGTTTGAATAATCGTGGATACTATCCCAACCGTTTTACAGTTATCAATAATGGAATGATTACAACGTGATTATGTGCCATACTCTAGTGCCGCCAAGGACGACGACTGTGATTTCGTACGGCCGACGACCGACATCTCGTCCAGTGTTCGGGACTCGTGCTCTGGCTGCACTTTTACTTCGTGCTAACTTTGTGCGATTCTCCTTTCGTTCGCTACGTGCCATTTGGGTACTGAAAACAGCTGGTTAGTTGCCATACAATTCTGCATGATAAATCATAAGTGTGATAAATGGAACGGCTGATATAAGCGATTCAGCAACACATTGAACGAGGGTGTTAGTATTGAAGAGAATAGAGTCCAGACAACAACAAAAAGCTGGAGGAAAAAGGTTTAGGCACTTGCAAATTAAATATCAATTGGGAAAAAACCATATGAAGCGTTTAATCTAAAGACGAATGAAAGAATGCCTTAATAAACGAATGTAAACAGGAAAAGAAGACGAGAAACGAATCCGACACTGTGAATAATAATAAACGACAAAGCTCTCGTCGTTGATCAATCCCTGAGGGATGCACCATGCATTCGACTTCATTAGGCATCGTTTGGAGGTGACCGAATGCATATCTTGCCTCCACAATGACTCGCGGTGGCCCATCGATATATCGAGTCAATGTTGCTATACTCCCAGACAAGTCTGGTACCAATTTGCCGACCCTGGAGGGATGGAAGGCTTGGTGGGCCATTGGCACTGGGATCGATTCCACGCGTGTGTCGCAGCGGAGCCTCCAACCACTGCGGTACACGCGCCCGACAGTGTAAAAGATCATGTTATCGAAACGAGAAAAGAGAAAAGTTGATAATGCCGATGTCAATTTACACTAAATCATAGCTGGTTCTTTACAGAGCTAAAATTGTAATCATACTAAATTAGAGATATATCTAGAAGCCGTTTAGAAGCCTAATACGATCTCGACATGGCAAAAAAAAAAGAATTAGAAAGACTGATCCTTTCTGAAAGTGTCAATCTTGAACATAAAACGCGAAGTTCCTCCCATTTCTCAATAGTTGATCACCTCACTATGGCTTGAGATATCTCTGGATGTCAAAAAGCAAATTTGAGCAGGAGGCTCATCCTTCTAACGATGTCTCCTAAGTTGAAATGAGCTCGATACTTTCACGCGCAAGCATAGCTAAGAGTAAACCAGTGCCAAGATTCACCATTTCCTTGATGACAGCCTTGACGGAAAGTGGGGAATCACAACAAGATCCTACGATAGCACAAGAATGCTTGTTGTAGGGTTTTTGGGACATCCTAGTACGACTATCTGAAAACTCCAGGGAAAGATAATAGTAGTAGATTACTAGCCAAATGAAATTGTGCTGCATCCCGCACGATGGAAAAGAGGCAGATGGATGACTTAAATATTTGAATGTGGAAGAACCAAGTTCCATTACGTTACATGTTTAGTAACAAAAGTGTAACTGAACTCTTCTAATAGATGTAATTATTCATGAAGAACACCTGATGAGAATTCTCGGCCTCGTATAATTCTGACTAAAGGAATCCATCTTTTCTTGATTCCTTTTCTTTTTAGTGCCTATGTAGGTATAGAAAACAATAATTCCTATGCAGAATGGTTGTCAAAAATTCCATGATTTTGCAGCCTTTTTGTTCATTCATGGTATTCCAGCTACTTAGAGAAGAGGGTGAATTTGTAGTGAAACGATTTGCATGAAGAGAAATACCTAACGAAAGAAAACATGTAGAGACAACGAGAAAGAAAGTGTAAACCAAATCAGAAGAAAATAAAAAAGAAAGAATGAAGAAAGAAAATAGTAAGGTGGAAAAGCAGTAAAAAATGGATAGATAAACGAATAGCTAATACGTGCATATGCAGTGGATACAAGCGCGAAAAACGTGGGAAAGTCGTAGAAAAAGTTGGGAGATCTAAATGTGGACCGCAATTAGAACGAATAAAAACTCGTCACACAAAACAACTTGGTTTGGCGCATTACGCAGAAATTCCTTCAATTAGTTTCTTTATTCACATTTCCATCCAAATGCGCAGCTAAGTGCAATTCACTGGCAATGCATAGAATTGTCACCGTTCTGGGAAAAACCCATAAAGAAAAACAGAGAAGCTTCCTTCGGATTTACAAGAACTGACGACGTACGGCTTTGATGAGGACCTATGAACATTCTGTTTCAGGGTTCAGGAAAGAATCATCTTGGGAATCAACTCCAATACGGTTGTCCAGAAGAAGTTGTGCTCAACCACCATTCCAGTGAGGAGAGAAATGTCACATATTCCCAACCCCTTTTACGAACACGACTATCCTCAAGTGTAAAGGATAGAAGACGAAAAAACTAATGGAGGAAGTGTTGGAGACAACCGAGTGATAGACGCTTCTACATTCATAATGGTGCTGAGACATTTGCAAAACTTGGACCCCAGGCCAGATTCGAATCCGTGATTATTCTTCCCAGGAGCTCACGTGTTATCGCAGCTTAACTGGGTTAAATGCAAATTTCTACTCCCCAGATCGTCGCCCTTGACGCTTGATTATTGATGAAACCGTTAGGTAGAAAACTGGCTAAGAGCAAGAGAACACAAGGGCTTGAGTGGTGCGGTGGGTAACACGTGAGACACGGAAAGGGCGATTGCGGGCTCGAATCTGGCCTGAGCCACAAGTTTTGCAAATATCTCATCATCAATACTTGATGCTTCACACTTGAGTAGCCCGTCCTCACTGGTTGTATTTCACATCCTAATCTGCCGTGAAAAAATAATATTAGGCAGTAAATAAAAAGTAGACACTGTGACTTTTACTTTCATTATTTTTGTAAGCTCACGCACAAAAAATGACCCGTATAAATTTTTCGTGAGTCTTACCAACAAGCTTGGATACTTGGATGGCTCGTCCTCACTGGCTGTGAGGGCCTCAGCATAATCTCCATTTTTTAAGACATTTGCTGGTTTAGCCATTATGGCTCCCTGGAATTCCGAGAGCCTAGCCAAGGTCTGCCCTAGGCCTTCACCACCATGGGCAGTCGCAGCTCTAGTGGATCAGAGGGAGATTTGCCACCATGCTACTTTGATACCAGGACGGTGGTGGACCCTGCTGTTACTGGTTTACTCTTAGCTAGGCTTCTTGATGGAAACACTGCTGAGCATTAAATGTACTCAACATCTTTGGTGTCTATTAAGCATATTTTTTGACAAATAAAAATAGAGAAGAAAGTTATATAATTGTGAAAAAAAAGTTAATTTCATCATTCAGTTAAAAAATACGAAACTACAATCGTGAAAATATCTAAAAATTTGGCGAAATGAGAAAGAATGACAAAGAAAGAGATATATAGAGAAATTTACATACAAAGGCATACAAAGGCAGAAATAGAGGCATGGATACAAACAGACGAACGAGTGGACAGGGACAGGGACAGTGACATAATCAGACAAACAGGCAGAGAGATAGACGGACAAACAGGTGGACAGTCAGGCAGACATGAATAGGTAAACAGGGAGCGGTGAACTACAGGAAGCAACCGCAGGCAGAGCGGCTTTCGAAGATTTCTAACAAATTGTAGGAGTAAGAGCGATTGAACTTGTTAATGATTTAATTTGAATGGGAGGGTAGCACAGTGGTAGTGAATGCCGATCATCGCGAACACGGTGTTGATTCGAGCTTGTCCAAGCTCACCAAGTTTCTCATCTCGCCGCAGTCGGAGAATTGTAGCGGACTTCTCTGCGCAGAGCTCATTCGTTGCAATATTAATGTGAAAGCGCTGGCATGGCTGTTCCAGAACTCCAGGAAGAATCGACTGGAAATCCTCAAGCCCCAGCCGAATCCACCTGCAAGAGATCGCACACTTTCGTGAAGACGGATGAAAGGAAACGAATCGAGGGCAAAAAGTGCTGGGAACCGGACAATAGACGTGAATACTAGCCATGTAAAATAAAATGAAATAAAATAATAAAGATTCAATTCATACCCTATTAAAACAATGAAACAAAAAAACGCGTAAAAATGGGAACGAAAAAAAAAACGAAATAGTAGATATGGAGCGAATTACCTGTTCTGTGCTCATTTCTACGTTTATTGGAGACACGTGTGCTTAACTATAACGCGTTTATCACCCGTATCACCTGCTTTCGTGAAATTTATTGAAAGTGGTACAAACAAAAACCCTAGCAAAGTCTAATTTCTTTCTCTCGTCATGGTTCAGGACCACCCGCCCAGCTCCATTCACTAACATGGGGACATAACGAACTCCACTTTTAGTTATATATGGGTTCTTTATTTTTACTATTTTCTAATGAACGTCGTGAAATGCTAGGCGACGGTATCCACTCAGAAGTTAGTTTTGATTTTTTTTTGTGCTGGACGATTGATGATTTCATAGACAAGCTTTAAAAGCAATATAGAAATATGTGAATAATAATGGAATTCAAAGAGCAGTTCATATGAGCAGGACAAATGTTCATGTGAAACCTGGTTCTTTTCACGGAAGTGGATGTCGTTCATAATACGCTTGTTTGTTTGAACAGCCTAAAGTCAGTGCAAGCACACAAATCAATTACGGAGAGTTTTCCTGTACAAGGAAAAAGTGATCAAAGAACGACCAAAAACGCTCCGGAATATTAAGGACCCAATCCTGTTCTTCTAATAAATCGATAAAAGTGTAATACATTACTACTTTAAGCCGAGTGTGTTTTGTGTAACCTACTTCAATACTATTTAGAATTTTCGACTAGACACTATTGTTTTCGGATATACCTCAAAAGACGTCGTTCAAGCATTCTTGCAAGTTTTTCATAGAATTCCACAAGCAGCTGAACCCATTTCTCGGCTATATAGAGAAGCCTTGGAGCAACCGTTGAATCAAGAAAGTAAACAATAGGCTTAGAATCCTTCAGCTGATCGATGCTATCGCTGCAGAGAGTGTGGAATTTGGCCTAAGATTCCCTCGCTGTTCCACAGATTTCCTTCTCAGTCTCATTTTCCATGTTCATAGATCGCTCGCGGTACATCCATTATTTGCTCTCCGTAATCGAAGAGCCATAACCATTGAGCTTGGTTCGGTTACCTTAGCACAACAGTTTTTCCAATGAACTGGGTTACCATATTTTCGCCATCATACTCGTTATTCCGTATCGTTGAGGGCTTCGTAGTTTATGTGCCCTTCACTAGTAGTTGGTATGGTGTTACGATGTCGTC